AGCAAAGTGATGAAAATTGAAATTAATCTATAAATTTGTGATATATGGAGAGACTGTGTACAAAAGGTACTCTACAGTAGCTGACACTGAATATTTATAGTCGTTCGATATGACTTCATAAGAATGCTTCTGGTCATATCAGCTACACTGTAGATGCAAATTCGACAATTTGACATCAAAAGTGCTTTTCTAAATGGAAATGTAGGTGAAAAAATGTTTATGCTTCAATCAGAAGGTTTTCACTCTGGAAATAATTCATTAGTTTACTCATATAAACTGAACAAGAGTCTACATGGTCTGAATTAGTATTCTTGTTGTTGGAACTCAGAATTTGTGAAGTTCCTGACATCATTTAATTTCAAATACTTCCCGTCCCGGCATGTTCCCACCCTGTGCCGTCCTGTTGCAATATGCAGACGCCATTACACGGACATCTCAACGGCAAAATACTACACAACTTAAGTTCTAAGAGGCCATGGATCTTCTAAGGCATAGCTGAGAAAGATTGGTGCTAGACAAAGACACACGTTCAAATTGTGCGTCTTTTTTAAGACTTTATCGCCATCTGAGCAAAATTTGGAGCGAACTTTTGGACATTCGACTACCTTAACACTTTTAATCATACATGCAAAATCATTTGAGATTTTTCTAATGTGAAATCAGACACATACTTCTACTGAAACACTCAGTGAGAGTTTATATTATGTATGGTAAAATTGTTTATAAACAATCAACTGACCTAGTATATTCTAAATCGCTTCAGTTATTATGGCATATTCAACCCAAAGAAAAGTAGGTAATTAGACGTTTGCTAGGTAAGCGTCTATAAATCAAATCGTGTAATTTTGGCAATACAATTATAGTTCAGAGTCAATTGAAACTTTTTTTTAATTTTATCGACATATTAGGAGAAACTGAATTCATATTCCATCGATGCCAGTGATGTAATCATATCAATTCTAATAACTAGAACGTCCAGACATTTCGTTTTTCTTCTAGTGCAAAGTCTCTTATAACGCAAAAATTAACTTAACCAGGCATATTAATTTTTAGAATTATTGTAAGGATAATTGACATTTTCACAGATTCACCTTTCACAATTATTTGAGCAACTTGAAAATGTTTATGGTTTTGAACTGTTTCTGAATCAGTTGTAAACTATTTGAAACCTCTCTTGGTTTTCTACGAATGTATATAGAAAAAGGTGTTATGGAGAGTGTTTTTATTTGATTCGAAATTGGTAGATAATGTCCTATGCGAGCGAAGTTGGTTATCAATATACTGTTGTGCTATTGTCCCCCTTTCCCCAATGAACCGCATTTGAATTACACCTGCAGATATATTTTCATTTATTTGGCGGAATAATCCGAGAGCGAGCAAAGCGGTAGTGAAATTAATAAGTGTAATAAATACAAAGTTCAAGTGTTCAGTTGCAATAGTTCAAGAAATTAGTGACGACTAACGAATCATCTAGAGAGATATAACAGAAAAAGTTGAACAAGTGGAAGGTAATATTGAACAAGTCTGAAGTGGAGTTGAAGGAGTTCAAGAAGAAGCGCAGACTCTCGGTAGCTGAGTGGAAGCAGCTGAAAGAAATGGACAAGAAATTGAATGGTCAAGAAAATACATTGAAAGACCAACTCGAGCGTACCCACGTCGCTAATCAGCCTTTATCTTTTGAGCATAGTATACCAATAATAACCAGAACAGCCCTACCAGCAAGACCTTCACAAGATAAAATACTGAGGCCTTCAATATTCTATGCTTAGTCATCAAGGATATACCGCAGATAATGATTAAACAGAATGGGAAAGGACCACTGCACTAGTGCTGAAACTCCATAGAGTAGCAAGAATATTTATCAAAGAGTCGTTGAAACTCTAGATGTGCGAAACACATAGCAATAGTAGGAGTAAGTCTACCAGAGGCAACTCAGTAGAAGACAGCAACAACCGCAGGAGATTTCGAAGGAGTATGGGACTGATATTGACCGACTAATTAATTTGACCTATCCTCAAGCCTGAATGTAGTGCAGACATTCTTCGGCGGTTTAAAGGACATAGGGAAGAAGCAAGTCATGATATGAGAATTATCAATTTTAAAGAAGGTCGAGCTGCAGAAAGAGTATAGAAATTATTCGGGAAATAGTTCGAGAAGGGGGAAAGTGATGGGGAATTAATAAAATAAGTGCGATAATTACAAAGTGAAATTGAAGTACAATATTCGGTTGAATATAGTATTTGTATTTCCAGATGAATGTATTGAATTTGCACAAGCACTCCACTTTGTTTATAAACCACCGTAGACGTAATACTAGTGATAGCACGGATAGTTCATGACAATACTCTTTGATTAATGCATGAGAGTGATCAAAATATTACAAAAACTCTCTTCCGAAACAAATATCTCTGTAATAGTCCCCGCTTCAAGTTCAATTTTTTTCAAATAGAGGGATCTAAATGAAATTACAATGTAGTAAGTGAATAATTTACAATAACCCAATATTCAATCTGTTGGGATAATTTTAAGTTTCAATTAAATTTTACAGGGTGGGCCAAATTGGACACTTTTAAAAGGAAACTCCTGTTTTCAAACTAGATAGATGAAAACTAATGACTGTGTCTGAGAGTCAAATTTTATGATAAACTCAATGATGAAAACCGCATATCGATATCTATCATCGTTTCTGAGTTACAGCATGTTTTTCAAAAATATGTCTTGTTGAAAATATATTTTTTGAGCTCCATCAGTGGTTATTCATCAACGAGGTTTTCAATATTTTGCCTTCAATTTCTGAATATCTCTGAGATGTAAAAGTGAATGGGCTAATAATTTTACTCCTGAAAACACCTGCCCACACAACTTTGAACGACGCGGCGATAAAACAGAAAGAATTTGTTCAGTAGTAGCTGTCAAATGTTGAGGAAGCTTTTCACACCAGTAATTAAAACGCATAGTTTCACTAAGCTGATATTTACTACTAATAAATGGAACTTCAACAACAATAATAATAATAATGATAAAAAATTAGCAATAAAATTAATTTCTTCAGCGAAGGTGTAAATGTCTACCAGCTTCACCTACACACAGTCGACACCTTTTCTGAACGTTTTTTGTCGAATTAATCAGTTCAATAGGAGTGAGAGGCGCAAAACTTTGCATATCTAGAATTGGCCGGCAAATTAAAAATAAGATTTTTCAACCTTCTATAGAGGTGAAAGTCCATAGGCGTTATGTCGGTGACCTGGCTGGCCAACGGTTGGATCCTTGGTTGGCTATCAAATTATTACCAAAATTTGAAGCCAAAATATTGGTGACAATCGCAGTGTTGTGAGACGAAGCCCCATCTTATTGAAAATATATTTTTCTGAGCTCTATTAGTGGCAATCCATCAACAAGGTGTTCAATATTTTGCCTTAAATTTTTTAAATATCTCTGAGATGTGAGAGTGTCATTATAAATGAACGGGCTAATAATTCTACCCCTGAAAACACTTGCCCACACACTAAATCCAAACCTTTCTTGACTTCTCTGCTTCACAATAGAATTATGATTTTGTTGTGCTCAAGTAAAAGAATTGTAGCAGTTGAAAATGCCGACAGTGCTCACATAACACATTAGCTTCGTCTGTCCAAATACAATTTAACGAAAAATCACGCACTCGGTTAAAACTTTCCAGGAACCACTGGCAAAAAGCCATGCGGCGCGGCGTTCAAAATCTCCTGGTCTGAGTTGAAGAACTCTTCTGGTCCTGTATGGTTTGAATTTGTGTTTTTTCAAAATCCTCCAAACGTAAGTTCTTGGTAGACCTGTTGATATTCTCAAATTTCGTGTTGACGGGATTATTTTCAACAGATCCTAAAACGACTATTTGTTCCAACTCCTTATCCCTATTTGATTCATATAATTTTGGCATTTTCTTTCGGATTTGACCATTAATTACGTTGTGTCGCAATCTTGCATAAATATCTCTAAGGGGGTATCTTCTCTCTAGATACCTCTCATGATACAAATTGCTTGCTGCTTCTGCATTTTCCTCGGTTTGTATGAAACAGACTATCATGTCCTATATTTCATAATTCTCATACTTTATTGCGAATCTGTTTGAAAATTGAACAGAAACCACTAATTGAAGAACGTCTTGACTGCTTAAATCAAAATTTGACAGCTACCAGTAAAGATTTGCATTGTTTTATCACCGCATCGTCCAAAGCCTACTTGGTCGAAGTGTGTACGTTCAAGTTTACATGAAAAAACTATATTTTTGGGAAGGTTATTTTAAGCTCTATTGAAATATGTAAGAATACTCTGGGTGTTTCATTAAAAAAATAGTTTTCCATCAATAACAATTGATATCTCATTTGAAAAAAAAGTTTTTCTACACCATTGAATTCTACGTAAAAAACTGCTTTGGAATGTTTTCATAGAAACAAGAAATTTTTGTCAGGGAAAAAGTTACAGTAACTTTNAAGATGAAGCTATTCGTACTGCAGTTTTAGGGCACGTTGGACTAATGGAAAATTTGCAATCTCTTACTAAGTTAGTTTGTTATAAAATTTCAATATCAGACGTAGCCATCAGTTTTCATCTATCCAGGTTGAAAACAGGAGTTTCCCTTTGAAAGTGTCCAATTTGACCCACTTTGTACACCAAACATTTGTAATGGGAAATGAAATGGATGTCAAAACGCTTTCTCAATCATGATACCAGTTTCCAGCCGTGTTGAAAATTCGTTTTCTCGTATAAAGTATGCTCAGAAGTGGTTAAATTATTGTATTATCATATACTCGAATAACTTTTTATCCTCAGTCGAATATAAATTTTCGATTCTTTTCACTGATCACTTATATCTGTCGGTACACTGGTTTTCTCCATGTTGATTTTTGTTTTCTATTAATTTTTCATAATAATACTATCTTAACCAATTCCTTGTTGAAATATTGTCGTCAATTACTTTCAAAGAAACCAATTCTGAAACGAAACTGTACAAAACTCAATTGCGTATTTTACTGTCTTTATTACGAACGATAGATCGAGATGTATCGAAGAAGAAAAGAAAAAATCCCAGAGGGATGGGCTTTGAATGAACAAGGCAAGATGGAAACAGACCCAGAAGTTGCAGTCAAAGCCAAGAGACTCATGCCCTTAGGACACACTGCGAGCCATAAAGGAGTTGGACTAGCATTAATTGTGGAAGTTTGCAGCGGTTTGTTATCAGGTGAGTCATTATGAAATAACAGGTAGTAGATAGAATATTCGAAAAAAGTATCTCCGAAGTCTTTTCCCCTAATAAATTCTGAAAGGAATACCAAAAAAAATATTCGACTTTATATACCATGCGTCTCATATCCATTGTTACTTCAATGCCATTTGTTCAATGAGATGGGTAACATTTTCTTCACATTGTTTGAAAATGATAAAAAATGTATTTAATTGAAAATAACAGAATGGAAATTGTGCTAGAGCTGGTGTTCGTATGTTCAATGATAATCATCCAGGAAGAAATGTACGACACAAATATGTTTTGGAATTATTGAACAAATTTATGGAAAGTGGATCTGTTGACAGTAAAAAGCATAACCGTTCAGGAGTTGTCAACGATGAAGCTATTTGTACTGCAGTTTAAGGGCACGACGTTGGACTAATGGAAAATTTGCAATCTCTTACTAAGTTATCTCGATAATCAGGATTCAGTCGTACACATGTTTTCAGGATCCTTCATAAGTACAAACTTCATCCATATAAGATTAGACTAGCTCATGAATTGAACGAAGATTATTTCGATAGACATATCGAATTTTGTTAAAGTATCACTGAACGAATCAACTTGCACCAAAATTTCTTGTATGAAATTTGTTTTTCGGATGAATGTCCGTTTAGTTTGAATGGAGAGGTGAATCGGCAAAATTGTCGATATTGGAGAGATACAATTCCTCATTTATACCATCAAGTTCATACCCAACGACCTCAAAAACAGAATGTTTGGCCAGGAATTTCAGCTGACCACATCATAGGACCTTTTTTCATCGATGATAATTTGACTATTGATAAATATTTGGATATATGTTGGAGAATAGAATAATAGCATGCATCAATAGGGCAATTGAGGATATAAATTTATTAGAAAACGAAATAGTTTTTCAGCAGAATGGTGCACCTCCTTATTATGCAGCTCCAGTGCGGCAATTTTAGATGATCATTTTCCTGGTCGCTGGATTTGCAGAAGAGGTCCTACAGAATGACCATCAAAGTCTCCGGATCTCACTCCTGTAGATTTCTTTCTACGGGATCATTTGAAGTAGAAAGTGCATGAGATAGAATCAACAAAAAAAAGTTTCACTTCTCATTCTTATCAAGCAGAAGTTTTGTTTATCTTTTCCTGAGCAAGTGTTTTAGCTCAACACATTTGTGGATTCTACAAACCAAAATAGAAACAAGAAACAAGATAGAACATACCCACTGTCTATTTGTAATATACCTCGGTTTTCACAATCTAATCTTATATGGCCATCCATCATCTACGGTAAGGATCCTCAACAAAAGGTCATGCGAATTCGACCGAATTCTCCTTACCAGGTCTTTTCATTTCCATCCTAAATTTTTCTCATTCTACCACCGGCAGCCTACAACAGAAATTATCCTGTACTATCATCATTGTTGGAAAGGTGATATTTATACCACTCCAGGAGCAGGCTATCTATAGAAATTAGTGCTACTGTTTGGCTGAACCACTTAGGAAGAACCTATGTCGTATTGCTGGCAGAACGACTTGGCTATTCATACACTCCATGACAACTAAGACCTCCCCTCATATATTAGTACCAGACATAGAACTCAGGAACCAAACTGAATCTATCACAGTCGATGAAGGGTACAACTTGGATGCCGAAGAGGAAACCGTGATAAATTCACAAGTTCGCAAGCAACCAAGGTTACCTACCTCATCACTGTAAACCAAAAGTATACTTCTGGGCCACAAGCTTGTAGTTCTCAGTTGAAAATTCTTTTACCCGACATCCCTCTCCGATGAGCTCCGGCTTCAAGAATGTAACACCCTTTTTTACTAAGATCGAGACGTGTTACAGAAGTCCAAATTGATGGCCGAATCATTCTCAAGTCACTCAAGTCCCTCTATTCGTTTTCATTGGGTACAAAAAATATTGTTTACATCAATCCTCCTTCCGATCTGGATGATTTGAAAATTAATATATGCTGGGCACAGTTCATATAAGTTAAAAGCTATCTGTTCAAGAAAGCTATACCTCAATTTTACACCTGTGCCCATTTAAATGGGTGTCATTCCAAATAATATTGGTAATGTCCAAAATCCTACGTCAACCCAGTGCATTCCATTTAAACGAGCCACCCTGAATAACTTTTGGTACAATGATTTGCGGGAAAAATGACCATATTATACAACCATATTATACAGGGGGACACATTTTGACATATTCACATCCCCAGAGCATGTCACCAATTTTTTTCAAATCGATCACCCTGAATTGTTTCGCATTATCAGATGCTCCATGATGAGCAGATTTCAAAAGTATAAAACATATGGTCTGAAGCTTATGGTTCGGGAGCTACAAATTATTTGAGTTGAAAACGATCCACCCTGAATAACTTTTGGAACAGTGATTTGCGGGAAAAATGAAAAAACACGACAACTAAAGTATACAGGGGGACACATTTTGACATATTTCCCAATCTTTCCCAATCGCACCCCCAGAGCATGTCACCATTTTTTTTAATAGATCAATTGTTTTACATTATCAGATGTTCCATGATGAACAGATTTCAACAAAGTAGAATACATTATGGTCTGAGGCTCATAGTTTGGAAGCTAAAAATTATTTGAGTTGAAATTGAGCCACCCTGAATGAACTTCTCTTCATTTTGTATTTGTCTCATTCTACAATAACGATTACCAACCAGGTGAAGTTACAATTGGCGTTTCTATTTTTGTGAATTCTTGAGAAGCAATAGTTTATACGCTTCGAGAACGGATTGAAATAGTGAGTTTGTACTACCAGAATGGAAATTGTGCTAGAGCTGCTGTCCGTATGTTCAATGATAATCATCCAGGAAGAAATGTACGACACAAATATGTTTTGGAATTATTGAACAAATTTATGGAAAGTGGATCTGTTGACAGTAAAAAGCATAACCGTTCAGTAGTTGTCAACGATGAAGCTATTTGTACTGCAGTTTTAGGGCACGACGTTGGACTAATGGAAAATTTGCAATCTCTTACTAAGTTATCTCGATAATCAGGATTCAATAGTACAAATGTTTTCAGGATCCTTCATAAGTACAAATTTCATCCATATAAGATTAGACTAGTAGCTAGTAAGATTATAGTTCATGAATTGAACGAAGATGATTTCGATAGACATATCGAATTTTGTTAAAGTATCACTGAACGGATCAACTTGCATCAAAATTTCTTGTATGAAATTTGTTTTTCGGATGAATGTCCGTTTAGTTTGAATGGAGAGGTGAATCGGCAAAATTGTCGATATTGGAGAGATACAAATCCTCATTTATACCATCAAGTTCATACCCAACGACCTCAAAAACAGAATGTTTGGGCAGGAATTTCAGCTGACCACATCATAGGACCTTTTTTCATCGATGATAATTTGAATATTGATAAATATTTGGATATATGTTGGAGAATAGAATAATACCATGCATCAATAGGGCAATTGAGGATATAAATTTATTCGAAAACGAAATAGTTTTTCAGCAGGATGGTGCACCTCCTTATTATGCAGCTCCAGTGCGGCAATTTTGGATGATCATTTTCCTGGTCGCTGGATTTGCAGAAGAGGTCCTACAGAATGACCATCAAGGTCTCCGGATCTCACTCCTGTAGATTTCTTTCTACGGGATAATTTGAAGTAGAAAGTGCATGAGATAGAATCAACCACATTAGAAGATTTGAGAGAGAATATCATGAGGCATTGCAGAGAAATAACTCCCGAGATTTTCAACCATGTGAGGGCGGCAATGGAAGCTCGTTTGTATCATTGTTCTGAACTACGAACTGTTTGCAATTCAGAAGAGAACCTTGTTCTACTATTGTTACGATTGTCATCAGACATTCAAAGGTGTGTCCAAAATTTGAAAATAAATTGAAAACCTCAAGTAAGTTACTATACTCAAAGCTGAAATTTATAAGCCAAAAGATGAATAAGGAACTTTTCAAATAGTGATAACATCATAAATGAGATTCATGAATGCCAAAAAAGCCAAATAATTTATTGATCTTTAATCCACCTGAATTATCCACTACATCCTAAGATATCAACCAAGTAAAATCACTATTATCTGGAGTTGATGACGGTTCGATGACGAAAATGATAAACAAATTCTACGTTTTGGGAAAAAGAACAAAAACAGTCATCGACCAATTGAAGTTGTTCTTTCTTCTGCTCGTGAGGTGCATGAAATCTTAAGAAACAAAATTAAATTAGGCCGTGCAAACAAAGTATTCCAACATGATCAAACTCTCTGATAGAAAAAGCAACTGGAATCATTGACAAATGAGCTTATAGTGCGTCAACAGACAGGCGAGCCTAATTTGTCCAATAAATACTCCAACAATATCTACACCGAAAATCATTAAAAAACTAAAACCGGGCGACCGTTCGCTTTATTACCAAAGTGTTAGAGGTCTAAGAACTAAACTGACTGAACTCAGCTTGAATGTTAGCAGTTGTTCTCACAATATCATTTTCACTGAAACCTGTCTAACACCTGAATTTACGGATGCAAAACTAGGGCTTCTTGGCTACATTGTTTATGGAACCGACCGCTTTGTTGAATCCAGTGTCTTCAGCAGGGGTGTGGGTGTATTAATAGATATTAAGAAATCATTTCCCGCTCATCTATTCAGTCTGATCCTCCATTCAAACAATTGTGTTCACTTCAATAACAAATCTATCACCAAAATCTTCATCTACTTTATATCAATCTTACTCTGATCTGCTAATCTCAATAAGCGAGCAATATGCTAGTGCAAAACTTTATTGCTCCATTGCTTCTCCTCCAACTCCATCCATTCAATCTGAGACTGATTCTACGGAAACGATATCCAACATCTGTGCTTTCCTCAATCTTTTTCAGTCCAACGAGATAATCAACGATAGAGAAGTTACTCTTGATCTCTTCTTATCACCACTAGATATTACAGTACTGAAGACTGTCATACATTCAACGCACCGAATATTATATTATTAATAATGTTAAATCCATTTGGAAATTTGTAAACAGCAAAAATTAAAATAACACTATACCTAATACAATGACTCTTCGTGATCGCACTGCTGCCAATGGGGACGATATTGTCAACCTCTTTGCTAACCGATTTCCTTCAATCTATACAAATCAATTTTTCCATCTTTATAATACCCATATTTCATCCATGGTTACCGTGTCCAATTATCACATTGAAATATCAAAAAATCAATGCAAAACTGTCTGAACCTAATATCAACAAAAGCCCTAGTCCTGATGGAATTCCCCCCTACTTTTCTTAAATCATTCAACTTTATTTTATCTCTTCTACTTTTCTATATATATTTAATAATATTACGCCAGTATATAAATTCAGCTAAAAATCTGACGTGAGTAATTATCGTTCCATTTCTATTTTTAACGTAATCCCTAAAGTTTTCGAGAGAATCATCACTGATTTCCTTTCCTACGATTGCTCCCCAATTATAGGAACCCAACAATTCGAGTTTACATCCAAAAAGTCAGCTGAACTGAGTCTAATTACATATGTTGATTTTTTGTCGGATGCTCTGGAAAAGAGTTCACAAGTTGACTCTGTGAAAATTTTTTCAAAGCTTTCGATAAAGTTACTCATAAGCTCTTGATTCATAAACTTTGTTTATACGGTGTCAATGCTCTAGTATTGCCATGGCTCAAGAGCTATATTAAGGAAATAACGCAAATTATTCTCATACCATCGCAGTTACATCGGGTGTTCCACAAGGATCACACTTTGGACCACTGTTGTTTAATCTTTTCATTAACTATCTAATTCGCTGCTTCAACCAAAGTGAAGTTTTGATATTTGCTGATGATTCAAAATATTGCAAAGTAATTTAAATCAGGCCGAAGCATTGATTCTCGAAAATGATATGTATTGCCTATCTAACTGGTGTACGCAAAATGGTATGTGGTTGAACGCATCCAAATGTCATATTCTTCACTTTCATCGAACACATCAGCCAATCACTTTCGATTATAGGGTAAATACTCCGACCTTATATTCTGCCTCGGAAACCAAAGATTTAGATATGATCCTAGACTCCACACTTAGCTGTAAATCAAACATTTCCCTTGTAATTCAGAAATCTATGAAGATGCTTGGCTTTATAAAAAGAGCAAATGGCGATGTTACTAACAATGTGTTGCTTGCCCTCAAGAAATAGATTAGTTCATATTGTGATTTTTTTTAACTGATCTATATGTTACCTAACTATTTTGTAACTATTATTCTTATACGAAGAATGTAAACTTTCACGACCAGAAATAACTGTATGAACGCTATTTTCCGGGTTTTCTGGCCGTGGTCTGCAGGTTTTTATGCCAGACGATTCGTCTACTGCTATGGTAGACATTTTCAACGGTTCGCAATACCCGAGCTGGTGCTCTGGTTCTTGGTCCAACGTATTAACTACTATTTCTGTACTGGGCGCTCTATTTATATCGATCTCAATTGGTAAGACAGGTAATACAATTAAGAACGATATAAATAGAGCGTCCAGTATAGAAAGAGTAGTTAATGCCTTGGATAGAACAGGAACAAGAACCAGAGCACTAGCTCGGGTATTGCGACCGTTATCACATCGCCTTTGAAAATGTCTACCGCAGCAGTAGAAGAAACGTCATGCATAAAAACCTGTAAACCACGATAAGAAAACTCGGAAAATAGCCTTCATACATATTATTCTTAATAGCTGGGGAAGCTATTATATAGCGGTTTCGTAAACTTTTCAGATGAATTATCACAATAAAGTGTTTCTTGAATACGTTAAAAATATTCATCAAGTAGAGACCAATTCCATCACATATTTTAATTCTATTTTTAATTCATAGACTCGAAATACGGACCAAATATTCGAACATGGGGACAATTACCAGCAGCACAAGCAGACTTAGGACATGGTTTTATTGCTATCAACCCAAAGAACTTTGCCCCAGGCTTTGAACATCGCTTAAGTGACCTTCTGAATTCGATAAGGAAAATGGAACCGGTAAATATTGAATTGAAACTGACATTCTCCAAATGATTATTTTTGAATTAAATTTGAATATAGTACTTAAATTACCCCAATGCATGTGAAGTTACTGAAAGTACAGCTTTTAGCTGCCCCAATCGCCTGAAACAAACAAATTTGGGAACAAAATTCAGCCGGATCCAACTGCATACAAACGTTGAGGTTGATAAAAACACTGGTTCAAAATAAAATTTGTCAATATCAAGAAGTTCGTACGTGAATTTTTCCATCAGAAGTAAACCAAATAATAGAAATGTTAATTTCATACCTTGAGATTTTATATTTCTAACCAATTATATGGTCATAACGATTGAACGTCATACCGAATGCGTTGCACACTATATTTTTTCTACGACTTCCGAACTTTAATTTGCCTGCCTATGATATCATTGCCTATCATTGAACGATAATGTACACATTTTCTTGCCTTATGATGATGATGATTTACTTCAAATTTAATTTGTACTATTAGATGGCAACTGAAATCTCAGTACTACTATTAAAATTTCATGTGAGGTATTGTTTGTTGTTCATAGAGTTCTCAATATATCATTTCACTTTGGCTGATGAGTTTCAACCCCTGTGCTGACGAATCTGTTCCAGATTCAATCAAAGGAAACCACTAATAACTTGTCAATTTCACTTCATTACATCTCACAATTTGTTTAGAATATCTGCCAAATTGGTGATTGATGAGCAAATATTTCTGTTGTTTGATTTTTAGAGCATGGAGTCATATAATTTTTTTTCATAAATAAAATGTTAGGTGTTGTTCAATTTTTTGTGTTTTTTTGTTACTTTGGTTTTGATGACCCGATTGAAACTGATTTCCAATCGAGTATTTCAACCATTTCTAAGAGTGTGAACCAGAATTGATGTGCCAATAGGTATGACAGACTAGAAATTTTCGAAATCATGGGGTTAGGTTGGTGAGACATTAATTTCGAGTATATTTTAGTTTTTGAAAAACCAGTTAGCCTCTCTGTATCACATCAAAGGTCGAAATATGAATATTTTTCTGTAATGTAATTCATCTGTGATGACACCATTTTTTTATTAATGCTACGTTTACTCCAAATAAATGATTATTTTCATTACTTGCTTACCTACAATCTCTCAGTCTTTTCAATTTTTATGTTGCCTTCCACCAGTTCGCAACCACTTGTTTTAAAGTGATTATGTTTCTCTCTTTATCATAGATCGAATTTTCATTCCAATTTCTTCATGAGTTATATTCATGCTTTGAAAGAAAACAACAATATTGAAAACAGTGTTTTCTTATAGTTTTCAACATAAAAAGTATTATTCAAACTTTCAGTCTATGAAAACCATTCCAGAGATCGAGACTATAGGTGATGTAGCTTGTAGCACTATTGTTGACAAATCAATTCAATCTTATTCAGCTGATTATACAAATATCGATGGATTGAAAAAAAAGCTTTATACCTTTGAATGTATGAAAGTTCCTCAATCTAAATATTTCGTAACAATATGTATATATCAATTCAACATTGAACTTTTTCATTTAATTTCTCAACGTTTTATAGTTCTCATTGAAATAAGCTTTTTTCGAAGAAGAATATGGGTTTACGATAAATAAAAAATAATGAAGATATGGAAAGTAAACAACTTAATAATATAAATATAGCAAAATGTTCGAAATTAAATGATTTAATATTATATTTCCAATAATTCACTTTTGTTTCATTTTAGGCTGACCCAAAGCATCCCGTTATGGTTCCAGGAGACTACGAACACAGTGTTATGAAAAAAATTGATGAACAAGGAGGTATAATTTATCCCAAAACCCTGTTAGATGTAATCGACAAATTAGTGAAAGAATTAGGTGTTGAACCTATAAAATTTAGGTCATGAAAACATAAAGATGAAACTGTCCTTTGATAATAATGAAGAATTTTCGATTAAAATTTATACTGTTTTTTACAGAATATACATCTATTCAGTGTCGTATACTAATAAATATAAAACGTTTCAGGCTCTGTACAAAGGAAAACAATCATAAATCCATAAATAAATATAGTGAAACATTGATTTACATGAAAATTACAACGATAATCTATTTTATTTTTCCCTATTTCTTTCCCTTTTATTTGATGTTTCGTCAAGTAAGAATTAAAGTAACATGAATTCGTTCATTAAAGTAAAATGATTTTAATTCTAAAAAGTACTTTGGGTTAACAATCGACCAATCAACCAGATATTGATCAAATTTGTGTGTTTCACTTTGTCATATATTTTTTGCATAGTCACTAACTTTTGAAACGGAAATACCTGATTTTTATTGAAAATTTGTCTACTTGATTATCAAGAAAAATAATTGATGATAGTGTTGAGAAAAATTCAATATAAAATATATCCAACTGCAAATAATTGAAGACAGTTGTCAGTACGGATTTTGGTCTGCCAAATATATCAAATTCTGAGAAGATACCATACCGTTAGTGATGAAAGTCACCTCATCACTGAACAATATATTTTTCAAGAAATTACTGTCATTCAGGTTACTGCCTTGTGCCCACAAACTTTATTCCATTCTTCTTTGTTCGTCTCCACTGTGTAAATTGTGAAGAGATTTAGATTATGCCTTTTCAAGCATCTCCAAATTTTACTTCAGTCTATATTGAGTTGGAGTGACAAATTTCTCGAACTTATAATTGAAAAAAAAACTTCAAATGTTTTATTACTTGAAAAAAGTATTCTATTAATATTTATTTTTTATAAAAAGGTTACAAAAATAAAATTCTACAGCCCCAGGCATTTCTTTCAAAATCACAACGATGTTTATGTTTCAATGTATTTGGCAGGTTTGAGGAAAATTGTACTTTATTGAGTTGAGTGTAGAATTACAGGAAAACTATAAATAACTTGTCAAACTTCCAAATCAACCAATTTTTACTTTCCAAAAATCCCATGATATATTGTGAACGAAACAATCACCTCATCATATTTTCTCACATATTTACAACTGAAAATTTCGATGAAGTGAATGAGGATGCGAATAATGGCCGGACACGATAGATCTGGGTACAGTTCTTTGAGAAAATTGCGAGTATGTGTCATCTTGACCAGGATGAACTAATAACACAGGATGCATATTCATAGATTTCCTTGATCCTGCCACGCTTGCGGTATCCCCCATGAAAGCGCTGTTCATTTCACCTGAAATAAATGGTAGTATCATTATGTGAGGTCATCAAATATGTATGATCGTGAGAAAAAGTTTTCATTCTAACATTAACAAGGTAATCCGACAGACTACTAGCAGTCACGATAGGGAACCCTTAACACTTATGGATCATATCTGGAGAAGGCATTGGTTCAATTAGATTCAAAGGAGAATCAATCGACAGAATTGAACATCAAATTCCATGTGTCATTGAACTGAAAAAACTATTCTCGTATTCGTATATTCGAATAGTCCAATAGTGAAAAAACTAACCCATTGAACAGGTAGCCAATATAGTCACAATGAATGAGATATGTCGGCCCTGCCTTATTTTGGAGATGTACAAAAACTACAGAAAAATCCTCAAAATGCTCTGATACTGGCACCTGAATAAAAAAGGCGATTGATGTTGAATTCATACCACTATAGATGATATTCTTTTCGAAAAACCGTTACGGGAAATTTACTCCATAAAGAATTGTTCTTCAAATGAAAAAATCCTCAGATAGTGTAGTTTGAGTTGTAGTTGAACTTCGAAGCGATGAGAGACTGTGATTTAACGCGTGTTCCTGGTGGAATCAAGCGGGTTGAATTCTTCAAATGCTTCCCTCAAAAATATTTATAGAAAAGAGGCAAGCCCCCAAACTTACTCCAATATTGCAGGCTATGTTTGCTTGTTATGTTTGGATTTCAAATTGAGCGAATAGTTTCTTGTAGATATATGTGGACAATATTCCAAAGAAGGTATGAGCGTTGTGAAGCATTAAAAGTTGCTTTTTAGTTCGAAGTTTCGAGTTTCTTAGAAGCTCCATTGGATATTTCAGTTACGCGATTGGGTTTGCCAAAACATATTTTGAGGTTTATGTGCAGTGTTAGTGAACAGTCATAAGTGATATAACAGTCTCAATTACTTCAGGAGGACGTGTTGATGAAAAAACATAGTTGATAAAAACTTCCTGTCAGAAAGAGTTTCGGAATGATCTTAAAAATTTCCTTGAGTAGCCAATCTAATATTTGTGGGATTTAGGTTGTTCTTCAATATTTATTGGTCAAACGACTCCAATGAATGCTGCACGGTGTCTGTTTGGTTCTGAATCATATATGTATATGATTCCTAATCAAAATCAAGAATGTTTGCTGGCTAGTCTATAATTCAAATAAGGATGCTACAAACGTATTGCAAAAAAACTCAGCTTCGCGACCTTGCTCATCATTCATATTGGAAAATGTATGTTAGCTGCTGGATTCCATCCGGAAAATAGCCAACCGCTCAATTGTCTCTCTTCTATAGATACTTCACGGGAAGTGTTCAAGCGACTTAGCACATTTGATTCCACCAAGAACGGTACATACCAGAAATACGCGACCAACTATGGCTGCTCATCGTTTTGAGATTCAATTTAGTACTCTACGAACTTCATTGTTTGAGAACTCTTCCATTTGGAGAACTGTGATTATGTGGAATAAACTTGCTGAGAACGTTTTTTCAAATGGATTTAATCTCCAGCGATTCAAATCCAATGTGAATCACTAGTTTCGCACAGGCACCGCTATAAGATCGCCTTAAAAATGTTCTTGTAGTGCTTGTGTTTTATCTTTTCAAAAAATGATATCTACATATATGTCTTCTTTTAACGTAATGCTACAAAAGATGAGAAAAGAAATGAGCGTTCTTGAACTTTCACAATTCATACTCATTATTTCCCTATTCTTATAATTTTTCATATCATTTTTACTTTTGTCGGTCCTTATAATAATGTTGGAACTTATTAAGAATTATATTATTCCAATAACGAGTAAGTACCTTTGAATAAACTTGGAGATGTCGAGTAATGGGGATCGGGTTGCAGTGAAATGTGTCTTGTCGCCAAGATAAAGGCTAGAATGGATAAAATAACTGCGTCCAAGCAGCCAATTGCTGCAAGCAAGTATGCCCAGCGGATTCCACAGTCTCCGAGAACGAAATTTCCGACGTCTGATCCGCATATCTGGTTGACATGGTCGGATGTCCATCCAGCAGGAAAAGTTGCACATCCGGCGATCATGCAGATGGCTGAAAAAAATTAAAAAATACCTATCAGTTAGATGTTTGGGGATGATTTTTTTAAATACAGTGCTCACCAACGTTGAAGGATTGATTACATAAATTGACAAACATATAATAATAATCGCATTTATTTCTCACATAAATTGTATAATTCTTATTTGGGACCATGAGCTAATAAAGAGGGGAAGGGGACGGAATTCACTTAATTTGGAGACCAGACCTCCACTGAAATGTTCTTCAACTCAACCCCAAAAATGCAGCCCTAACTTTATCAACGTTAATGAAATATCAGCATCATTACACATCCTTCCGTGAGTGAATGTTCCAAGTTCATATAGAAAAAAAAAACAACGACAAAAATAGTTAGGATTGGCCAAAAAGATATTTCTCGTAGTTGATTTGGATTTTGTGATTGATAGACAGTCAAGTTCCAGGATGGACAATTGCATATGGTGCATATTCGATGTGAAAAACAACGTTTGAAAATTTCAGTTTCAAACTTTAGTGTCGTTAGTGTACCTCTGAATCATTTACATTATGAATATCAGAGCAAAATGTGATTTTACGATGCAAATAGGAGAATTTTTTGATAATTATAATGTGGTGGAACAAACAAGCAGCATAAAAAAGTATTCATTTTCTCCATATTCAACCATCCTACATCAATTAGTTTATTTGAAATTCTTTCGTGTTAACACCATATATAAGTCTTAGGCAAGAGTTTTGAAATTTTTGTACTTTTGTACACGATTTTTGATACATATTACGGCCCAAACGCAGTAGGCAAAATTAAAAATATACAATACTAACGATTCACACAGAATTAGTTTTATATCCGTCGTTAAAAAATGCCAGGCTCCGTATAATATTTTCAGGGATAGACGAGATCTCTAAACAAGTTTATTTATGTGTTTTTTGAATCTACAATCACAGTCCACACCAAAGTTTTTTGTGTATTCTACAAGAGCTTATTGGTCACTATCAATAGTAACTTTGATATCTTGAGGAAACGGTAAATTGTTTTTTGAACCAGATAACATTATGTTAGATTCACTACAATTCATCTGAAGACAATGACTTAATGCTTTCTGTATTAAATTTTGAAGATCATCAATAATGAAATTGCAGGCCGTTACCACATCCCCTGGACAAAAACGGCAATAAATCTGTATATCGTTGAGATAATATAGAGCCTTGTGGAACACCGGATTTGAGGTTTACAGTTGTTCAACTGGCATTGTTAATACACACCTTTTGTTTCCGTCCAAGTAAATGTGCCTCAAATAACTTAATTGCTGCTACCGATAAGCCCAAATAGTGCATAATAGCCAAAATCAGTTGATAATTGGATGTGTCAAATACACGGCTGAAGTCCAACAGTGTACACCAACAGAGTACACATACCACGATCACTCGATCTGACCAAGTCATCGACAAAGTACGAAAGCCTGATAGGATTTCGAGTAGTAAACAGTTATTATCGATATGAGCTTTGAGTTGAACTTCAATTGCTCTTTCTAACATTTTTCAAAGCATCTAGTCAATTTTCATCTATTCATTTCATTCATTCATTTAAAAATTGTTCTAAAATATTTTTGTTGACATTTTTATAGAACTCACCTGTTAGTTTAGGAAACAGTTGATATAAAAAGTTATTGAAATATAAATATTCGTATAAACACGAATTACCTTGCCATATTCTACTACTACATCGAAGTGGTACAAATTGTATCAGATTGAAATATACCTATTATGAATACACTGACTTGTTATTTTATCAGAATTAATAACAATATCCACGATAATAATTACTCGATTTTCACAATAAATTTCATTTAAGATCTGTTTCGCTATACGGTAGCTTCATCAGTCTAACTGATGAAGCGGCTTAGATGAAGCAACACGAAGACATTCTTTTTCGCCTACATGCAAGGTTGGGCAAATTTTATTTCGACATGGAATATTCGATTCAACAAACAACAAGGACGAACAATTGAAAAGCTAGAGAGTAAGGAATGATCACTTGGAATATATTTGTTGCAAGTTTGACTGACCTGCCTATTGTTCTATTGTGGATAAGTCTGAAACTCATATATAGTAGCTTCGACATAGAAATGTTGAAATGAAATCTATTTTTGCTGAATTTTTCAGCTGTTTAGTTATTTTAAAAATTTGAACAATCTCAAAATAATCTTTTTTGATGACAGTTTGTTCGAATATTTTTTAAACTCAAAAACCTTAAGGAGATCAAATCGTAAGGTGTAGTTTATGAAATTATTATATATCTTCATCAAGTAACGACCGAATCAACCAGAAAACTCTAATTATACTGAAAAATTCTTCTGAAGAATTCTTCAAAAATACTAGTACCTATAGGCTACGTTTGAATTGGATAATCTTCGATATGAGATGTATAAGTAGTTCTTGATGAGTTCTGTAATCAACAAAAAAAAAATTGTCAGTTCATATACACGTTATTTGTCAATTGTTTATAGTAAATGTGAATCAGACTATTTGATCACAAACAACAACAACCTCTTCTATCGACCACATAATTCGTCAGCAACCTTAGCTAAAGCCAATTAAGTACTCATCAACAAGTTGAGTGTTTGAAAGGAAGCAAATAATAACTTCATGTCCAAAGGAGTGAGACATTGTGATTTGGTAAACCAACTACAGGAATCTAAGTGCACAAATGACTATGTTCGCACTACTGGGGAATATACATATATCTCAAAATAAATGAGAGTGAGGCAGTAGCAACAGTGTTTTGTTTTCCAAATGTATTTTGACTGAAAATCCCGTTAATATCTCACTCTCTCATACCACCTCAATCGTTTACGTTATCCCGAAATCTATATACAGGCCACTTTTTACCTATTCCCATTAATTGTTATCTTGCGTCAACGATAAGACATGCAAGGTCGGTTAAATTGGACAGAAGTTTCCTATTTTGAGGAACAAGAATAATTTCTTTTCAGATCGAGAATATCAGAGGTGGTTTTTGAAATATTCGCCAAAAACTAAAACTGTCAAATTTTGTTTTTTGGATCTACCGCCTCCTTTTCGAATGATATAAAAAAGGTAGACACTTTCAATACCGTTTCATGTCTGTTATAATCTTATATAGACCAATTTGCAATCCGGCGTTTCGTTCATTAGGTTTCACCATCAACTTTTTTTAACGGACATGTATTGTTATCCATATATGAATTTGTTATTACAGTGGCTACAAAAAACTAGAGGTTCGAGGTCGAAACGTTGAAAAACTCACTCACGACTGATATAACCAAAAATGTTGGCAAAAATAAGACGAGTAATTCAAGCAATATTGCTTATTGACAACTGAAACCATTTAAGAAAACAAAAAGTCTCTGTGTTCATGTACATTAGTATATTTCCTCTGAAAAACTTTATGCATCATACATATTTTTTATATATTGAAACTTTCATTTAACTTGTTTACTTTGCTTGCAATCATTGTCGTATCTTGATCTATACCGTCTGCTCACCACATTTATTCAGTAAAATCTCAAGTTTGTTTTTCCTCAACCCTTCCAGTTCATTCCGCGAAGAATCGACTTGCCCTGAATGATTCATCCTTTCTTTCAATACTTTCTCTATAGGCAGACAGCAATAATATTTATATTACTAACAAAGTGCTTAGGCTTAAACTAGTTTTATAATTATTACTTTCCTCTATGTACGATCAAATATTTGCTGTTGATTGATATATTCAAAACCATTATAATTTGTGAAAAGTAAAACAGACTATTTCTTCAAACAAAAACAAAGAGTTGAAAAGGGACAACAATTAAGCAACTTTTCCTCAATGGGGTCATTGCACCTCAAGTAGAACATGGTTTACATAACTGGATAACCAAAAGATTTATTACAATATATTTTCGTATTAACTTCGGAAAAAACCTTTCTGATTGGATATTTTGTCTTCATTATGAATTTCACGTTAACCTAATTGCGAATGAAACTCGTGAAGAAATGCTATTTTCATAACCATAATTACTGTTGGAGAACAATTCGCGATAAGACGGGTCACAAGTAATCACGTTTCGCACTACAGCTTTTCCACGCAAAACAATAGATGACAATTACTTCAAAATTGTTCGAGAAATATATCTTCAAAAGTTGGGGATATCTCTTATTATAACATTTTACTTTCACACTCATCACTACATATTATAAATCCTTACGCGTGTCATGCCGTTTACATCGTACATCTCAAATAAATATCTTAGGAGTCTTCGCAGTATCACAAATATCGACTGATAAAATAATTTCAAGCAGTCTGACAGATCAATCCGACACGTATGATGAAGAAAGGTTGCAATTGCTTTGGTTTAATTTTACGTATTGAATCGCTTTGAAGGTTGAGGTGGCATTTTTGTTTTGTATCAGGTAGACATGTACTTACCCATACCGAAATTTACAATTGTGAACATACTTTTACTGAATTGTATCGAGTCATTGATACAGTATTGTCAGTTACTAGTTAGGCTTCTCTCAAGAAGTTGGTATGAGATTGTGTTCAAAAATTCTGTTTAAAAATCTGTTCTGTGGTAGTTATATTGAAAAAAACTTTAAATTATAAGAGGTCCACGGTTTTAACATTGATACAAAAAAAATGTGGGAAACTTTTGATGGAAGGAAGAAAGTCATCAATTTTGAAATGAACTCTTTACAATGATGTGTAAATCATACAAAGAAGTAACTTTCAGATACAAACTTGTTTTCTTCCTTCCATTGGAAGTTTTTATTTTTTCGTATAATGATGGAGAAATAAGAAGCCAAAACTGTTCCTTACCATTTATTAATCTCTCATGAAAATATACCCCTTTCGATAGTTATACCGTTTTTCTAGATACGGCCGATACGCATACAATTTTTTGAGAATGTCCAGCACCGATCTCGAAATGCTATTGTGTCAAATTGCTGCAAGAATGCAAAAAGAAAGAAATATCTATGATATAAGACGATACAAATGTAAG